GTAGCCCCCCCAAACCCGGGGGGGGGGGGGGGGGGGGCATCACGACTGTCAGCAGACCAGGGAGGCATCGCTGCAACAGCGCCCAGACGGGTGCAGAACGGGAGCGTGTCCGTGGGCTGCTTGCGGGCCCCAGGACCGCCTCCACACGCACCCGTAAGCGCCGCCACGCACACCGCCGCCACGTCGGCTCGGCTCACTCTGCCGCTCTGGTTGTCGCCCTGTGGGATCGAGAGACAGCCAGCTCGGCTGCAGGCGGGGTGGCCCGCTACAACCCCATATCCCCGCTCCCACCCATTGCAACTTGCACTCTCACACACACCACTGTGCCGTTCATCCCCGCCCGCACCTGCGCCACCACCAGCTGCGCCTGCCCCGCCGGCTCGTTCACCAGCCCACCCGGACGCACCACCGTGTAAGGAACGCCGCTGCGCCGCAGCCTCTCCTCCCCTACACGGCCGGGGCCGCGGGCAGCAGCGGGATGGGCGGCGGCCACGGATGGGCAGGCAGCCGGCAGAGGGAAGAAGGAGGGCAGAGCGGCAGGCCCACCCCTGCCCTCCATTTGCCAAATGCCGGCATGCCATGCTTCACCCTCCACCAGCGGTACATACCAGCAGTACACCAACACCGCCACGTACCTTCGTACTTGGCATCCATCAAACCCCACCGAGCGCTGTTCAGCAGGAGGCGGATGGGGTTCCACCGGTTGTGGGGGCTGACCAGGCAGGATGACACCAGCACCACATGCTTGCCGCCCGCCTCCTTGGCCGCCTCTGCCACATTGGCAACCCCCTGCACCAGCCAGCCGGGCGAGAGCCAAGAAGTCGCACAGCAGCGCGTGGCGGCCTGCTCGCCTTACCCCTGGGCCAGCCGCCAACTTTACCGCCGCCCAAACCCCCACCATGCGCTCGTACAGCGCCAGCCCCGGCCACACTCACATCGCGGTCGACGGCTTTTGCGGCCCAGTAGCTGCTGCCGCTGGCGGCATAGATGACGCTGGAGGCGCCCCGCACCACCTCGCGCAGCGACTGCGGGCATCGGGGCGCGGGGGCAGGCAGGCAATATCAACGGAATGCTTAGCGCTTGGGCCCAGTCAGCAGCCCAGACAGGCTGCTGGCAGACAGACCGCGGTAACCGCAGAACCAGTCACCCCTGCTCTCCCCTGCGCACCTGCATGTCGCCCACGTCGCCTGCCACCACTTCCACGCCCTTGCGGTTGCCCAGCGTGTCGCGATACTTGGCTGGGTCACGCACCACCGCCCGCACTGGGGTGCCCCGCTGCTCCAGCACGCTGACGCACTCGGCGCCCGTGCGACCGCCGGCGCCCAGCACCACCACGGGAGCCATGGAGGTTCTTGGACGGAAGTTTGAGGGTGAAGGAGGTGGAAGAGGCGCAGCAAACAGCTGAGTTGGGCTGGAGGCTGCTGGAGTACTCCTGCAGGTGCACAGCGGGTGGACCGTGGGGCGCCGGCGGCCGGCGGCGGGTGGTGCATTGCGCCGGCGGGTGGTGCATTGCGATGCGTTGACCGTGCAAATGCAGTGAACACTTTCAACACCAGTGACTGGGCGCACTAGAGCCTGCTGATGAGCAGAAGGTTCTCAGGCAAGGGCCGCCAGGCCACTGCCAAGCCTCACCTGGTGAAGTTTAAGGCTCACCGTCGGGTTGATCTGCTTCGTTGCGCCAATCGAACCGTCTATGAAGCCCATGAGGGGCGCGCCTGCCCGCCGGCGCCAGCTGCCGCCCGAGTGGCTAGCCATGGCTCTTCACTGCAGACCGGGCCTCCCCGCACCCCTAAGCAATTCCAACGATCCTCGACAGAAGCATACAACTCTTGAGCAAGGTTCCCAGTCGATAATGAGCAAGGTGAGGGTTTGTTGAGCAATGTCTCCACCAGATCACGGGGCTGCTCGGCGCCCTGTATCAGCTTCTTCGACCGTATAGGCACGGAGATCGCTTTACCCACCACATGCACGTGTCGGGGCGGGGCCTGGCGGTTTGGGCCCGCGCCATGGGCAGGCGATTGCCCAACGCCCAGGCCTCGTGTGTGATTTGTTGCCGGCCTTTCGCAGTCCCACCGCGACGCTCCGCCGTGGCTGCTGAGCGCCACTTGCTGCCACCTGCCTCCGCCTGGCGGTGCCTGGCGGCTAGCCCCCGGTTCGGCAGCACCTGCTCACCACCCCTGTGCCTCTCCTCTCCTCCCATCAATGCAGGCGCTGGTGCTGTGCCTGGTGCTGCTGGCGGCGGGCGCCACGGTGGCGCGGGCGCAGGACACGCTCTGCCCGGCTGGCCTGGAGGGCCCTGACTGTGGCATGTGCGCGGGCGGCACCACGCTTGGCGACGAGGCATGCGCCAACCTGACTGAGTCGTACAGCGGCTGGTGCTACAGCAACCACACCTGGGCGGAGGGCTCCACAGCCAAGTCGTACGATTGCACCACAGAGGCAAGAGTGCCGCTGCTACCGCTGCCGCTGCCGCCATTAGCCCGGCCACCGCCGCTCGCCGCTGCCCTGGCTTGCGCTCTGCCCCACACGCTGGCTGCCCCCCCCTGCGGCCCCCTCCTTGCGCCGTCGCTGGCCCGTCGGCTGGCCCACCAGTGCAAGCGGGGCGCCGCTGCTGGCCGGCGGCGGTCTCCCTTCTGCCGCGATCTGCGCACCTCTTGCTGCTGCAGCCGCAGCCATGCACCAACGCCCCCTGCTTGCGCCTGCCTGCCCCATGCAGGGCACAGACTACGCCAGCACCGTGACCAAGGTGTCCGCCCACTGCGACGCCGAGATCAAGAAATGCGACGTGCACTTTGCGCTGGGCGACTCCCCGCTCACCTGCAGCGGCCTGGACTGCACCTTTGACGGTTATGGTGAGGCCCTCTGTATGGATGTTTTGCGCATCATTCCGCCGTGCCCTGCTGCGTGTTGTGGGCAGGCAGGCAGGCATGAGGAAGAGAGGGAGGAGCGCATGCGGGCCACCACGCTTGCTGCGGCCAACTGCCGTTTTGGCCCTCCCTTGCCTCTGCCTGCTCTGCCTGCCTTGCCACTGGTGCTTGTGCCCAACCAACCCAAGCTCCCCACCCCCGCAGCCGTCTTCTGCGGCTACACCAAGTGCTCGTGTGATGCTGCCTGTCCAACCGTCAACGGGGTCAGCCTGGGATACATGCTGGAGCGGCTGACGTGAGTGAGCTGGGGGATGGGCGTGTATGGTGTGGGGGTGGGGGTGGCAGTGGGAAGCAGCCTGTGTGGCAGGAGGGCCGCCAGCAACCATGCGAGAGGCCAGCCACCTGCCAGGTGGTATTGCACTCGTGGTGTGGGGGGATTGAGCAGGCTTGCCCCCCCCGGCTTGGCATCCCCCTTCCACCGGATGTGTGCCACACCCTGCTTGCTGCAGGGGCAAGACCAACCTGGCGTGTGAGGAGGGCTGGCCCGAGGCGCTCTGCAGCTTCGACATTGAAGGGCTGTCCGCTGCCTCGGGCGGCTTCCAGGCTTTCTGCAAGGCCAGCGAGTGCCGGGAGTGGTAGAGCAAGGCTGTGGTAGAGCAAAAGGAGCAGCCACTGCCTACCACTGTAGATCACGGAAGAACAGCAGCAGCAGCAGCAGCAGCAGCAAGCCAGCTTAGACACACCAAGATGACACACGGCATCGGGTTGGCCGCGATGGCCGCTTGGCCTGCCCAGATAGGGTTGCAGTCAGTCAGCTCGGCTTGGCGGCGCCGCCTAGCACCGCGTTTTTGCATTGCTTATTTCGTCCCAGTACCCTTATTCCCCCCTCCCATCTGCTATGCTCGTACAGCACAGCGCCGCAAAAGCGCATCCAGCACAGTAATGCCTGCATGCCCGCTGCTCCACTTGCTGTGAGTGGCAGTGTCGCTGGAAAGTGCATCTCTTGTAAAACGGCAAAACACATTCGCAAGGGATGTGTGGCAGGGATAGGTGGGCAGGCTGCCCCATGTGGCTGGGCCGCCCGCAACGCAGCGGGTCTAATGTGCCTCCTCGACTTCTTGGGTGTTGCCATATTCCATCGCAGGTTGTGGTAGTTCACAATTTGACATTAAATAAACTATACACACTCCGGCCCTTGTTGCAGCTGGGAATGCCTAGCTGCCTGCCACGTCTGCACAGGCATCGACAATGACAGAAGCAGGGACAGGGACCGCGCCCTTGCCGGAGGGCGGCCCCGCCACGGTGACGGTCGCAATCACACCGGGTGCATCCAGCTCGGGATCCCCAAATGGTGCTGCCCGTCTGGGATCGGAAGCGCCGCTGGCAGGCTCCATCAGCGAAGCGTCAAGCTCGCTCGCTGACGCCTCGCGCGTCACGGTGGCAGCATCAAGCTCTGAAGAGGCCGCTGCCGTGGCTTCAGTAGTAGATATTTCGCCAGCTGCCACAAGGAGCCCTTCAACAGGCAGCTCGCCACCCTCCGGGACCTCGCCACCTTGCGGTGCTGCCATCCTCCGCGACGGAACCGGCGCCGGCTGCTGCCCCTGGCTGTCCACAATGAACTCTGGCTGCTGACCGCCTACTGCTGGGGGTGCTGCAGCTACCACATCATTGCCTGCCGGGCCCAGATCCGTCGGTGCTTCCATCATCCCTGCCTGCTGACGAGGCATGGTCACTGCCAGTGTGAGCGCCGCCGCCACAGCGGCGGCCTCCGTCACTGCCTGGTCGGCAGCAGCCATAGCCAACTGGCCCGCCGCCGCCAGCTGGCTGGCCAAGGGCTCCATGCTGCCGCCTAACATGCTGCCGCCGTTCGGCACGTGGCCCTCAGGCGGCCCCTCCTGCTGCTGTTCCCCATCCCCTCCTGCTGACCCTGGGGCAGCGGGCTGCTGGCTCTCGCTGCCGCCACCAGCTCCCACCACTGCCGCCTTTGCCACTTCCAGCACCTCTGGCCCCGCTGTGCCGGCGGCATCCAGTGCAGCCAGCAGGCCGGAGTCACAGGAGCCCGCCAGCAAGGCGCTTTCCAGTGACTCCAACTTGCCGCGCAGCCAGTCCACCTCATCCAGAGCTCCTGCAGGCAGCCGACGGGCACGGCACAGCGCGATTTCACCGGGCACAGCATGCACACGCGATGGGGTATCACCCCGCTCCCATAGCCCCCTCCTACATGCGCCCGATGCAGACAGCCACTAGTTCCGTTGCCGCCGGCCACAGCTGCCTCCCTTGGCTCCCCTGCCCTCCTGTATCCTGCCCTCATGCCCTCATGCCCTCTGGCCAGCTCACTCACCCTTGTAGTCGTTTGACACAAGCGCCCTGCCGTTGCGCAGCCGCCCATTCTCACCAGCCAGCCGATCGTTCTCACGGCTGAACTGCACCAGCATGCGCTGAGTCTCCAGCAGGCGCCGCATGAGGTCCTCTGGGCTTGGGGAGGGCCCCAGCCCGGCGCCTGCAGCAGCGCCGGCCGCCGTCCCCGATTCCGGCCGGCTGCCGGCGACTACGGCCGAGCCTCCCCCGGGCACTGCAAACGGCGCCAGCGGCAGCGGCAGCTGCCCGCCGCCGAGCGTGCCGGGCTGGCCGTGGCTGGAGGGCAGGCGAGAGGCGGCCGTCGAGGCGGGTAGCGAGGCGGAGGCGCCGGCGGCGGGCTGGCCGCGCGGCAGGTTGGCCTGGAACAGCTGCTCCCGCAGGTATGTGTTCTCTGTCCGCAGCAGCTTGACCTCCCGCTTCAGCGCAGACAGGGCGGCCTGGTCGGGATCCAACTGCAGGAAGAAAGATGCCCATGGATAGAGGTGCATCTGTGTGTGTGTATGGGATGGGATGGAGGGTGCGACACGGGCTGGGCGTGCAGGCCAGCAGCCTCCCCTCAATCGCGCCAGACGCCGGCCGCGCCGCTGCAGCAGGCGCCCCCACCTGCACCGCTGGCTGGTTCCTGATGTTCTTGGCGCGCGCGGCGTAGCTCAGCGTGCTCAGCGTCTCCTCGGCGTGGGCAGCTGCACGGGGCAGGCCCAGAGCAGGGCGACACGGGGAGGGCAGGCCAGCTCAGCTCAGGTCAGCTCAGGTGAGATGAGGTAAGGTGGTGTGCAGCACTGTGATGGGCGGCTCAGCTTCGACAGGGTCTGGCTCAGCCCCCCACCCCACCCACCCCCCACCGGCCCGCACCTGAAGGCGAGCAGCAGGCGATGAGCAGGGAGAGGGAGGAGCCGCCCAGGCTGTCCATCAGCAGCTTGGTGAGCTTGCTCTCGCGGTACGGCACGCGCGCCCCCTGCACTCCCCCAGGGGGCCGTACCGCCGCACCCGCATCAGCATGGTCATGTGCACAGCGCAGGGCGCGCCGCCGCGCGCTGGGTGCCACCTCATAGCCGAGCAACGTGCATGGCTGAGGCATGGCGTTTGCAGATCCATATGAAATCTTCACAGTTTAGATGATGCTGAGAGCCGGCTTGATCCGCTGCTGCAGCAGGCGGCGCGTCGCCCACCTGCGCGCCATCCGCCAGCGCCGCGATGACCTTGCCCAGCATGAACAGCGAGCGGTTGATGGTGGTGGTCTCCTTGAGCGTCTCCCCCGCAGACTTGCTGTCGCGCAGCCGCTCGCTGCCGGCCAGATCTACAAACGAAACCTGTCGTAAGAAAGGATGGGGGAAGGGCGGCATGCCCCTCAGTGCCATCGTGACGCTTCAGCACCACATCAGCGCTGGCAACAAAAGCCTGGGTGCTGGCTCCCTCGCCCGCCAACGGCCCTGCTGCTGACAGCGCGCGCTTGCTTGAGCCGCTGCTCAGCCGCAGCTGGCGGTGGCTGAACCCACCTGCCCACCAATCCCGCCCCCACCGCGACCCCATCAGCACACTCTCGCTGTATACACGCACGCACACACACACACACACACACCGCCCCCGGGCCCCACCTTGCCATAGCGAGTGATGCCGTACTCATGATCGTCAGCGCGGGTGGGGCTGCAGTCAACATACACTGCAATGCGGGGGCGGGGGTGGGGGTGGGAGCAGGGGGCGTGCCGGGGCCGTAGGAAGGCACAGCACTGAGCCTCCTTTCACCCCCCGCCC